GATCGAATGAACTCTTCTCATCAACTTCACGTCATCTGCAAACAGGGACACCTCGGAGTTTATTCCTTCCGTCATGTCGTTCACAAATACCAGAAACAGCACTGGTCCTAGGACTGACCCCTGGGGGACCCCGCTGGTCACAGGTGCCCACTCTGACACCTCGCCACGTACCATTACTCGCTGCTGTCTTCCTGACAAGTATTCCCTGATCCATTGCAGTGCCTTCCCTGTTATCCCTGCTTGGTCCTCCAGTTTTTGCACTAATCTCTTGTGTGGTACTGTGTCAAACGCCTTCTTGCAGTCCAAGAAAATGCAATCCACCCACCCCTCTCTCTCTTGTCTTACTGCTGTCACCATGTCAAAAGAACTCCAGTAGGTTTGTGACACAGGATTTCCCATCTCTGAAACCATGTTGGCTGCTGGTGATGAGATCATTCCTTTCTAGATGTTCCACCATTCTTCTCCTGACAATCTTTTCCGTGATTTTGCATGCTATACATGTCAGTGACACTGGTCTGTAGTTTAGTGCTTGATGTCTGTCTCCGTTTTTAAAGATTGGGACCACATTTGCTGTCTTCCATGCCTCAGGCAATCTCCCTGTTTCGATAGATGTATTGAATATTGTTGTTAGGGGTACACATAGCGCCTCTGCTCCCTCTCTCAGGACCCATGGAGAGATGTTATCTGGCCCCATTGCCTTTGAGGTATCTAGCTCACTCAGAAGCCTCTTCACTTCTTCCTCGGTTGTGTGTACTGTGTCCAGCACATGGGGGTGTACCCCACCTCTCCGTCTTTCTGGAGCCCCTTCTGTCTCCTCTGTGAACACTTCTTCGAATCTCTTGTTGAGTTCCTCACATACTTCACAGTCATTTCTTGTTGTCTTTCCTCCTTCCTTCCTTAGCCTGATGACCTGGTCCTTGACGGTTGTTTTCTTCCTGATGTGGCTGTATAACACTTTGGGCCAGATTTGGCTTTTGCTGCTATGGTCTTTTTCCCATATTGACGTTGGGCCTCCCTTCTTATCTGTGCATATTTCGTTTCTGGCTCTACGACTGCTCTCCTTATTCTCCTGGGTCCTTTGCCTTCTATATTTCTTCCATTCCCTTGCACACTTGGTTTTTGCTTCCTTGCATCTTTGGGTGAACCATGGCTCATCCTGGCTTTCCATTATTCCTGTTACCCTTGGGTACAAACCTCTCCTCAGCCTCCTTGCACATTGTTGCTACATATTCCATCATCTCATTAACTGGCTTCCCTGCCAGTTCTCTGTCCCCTGAACCTCATTCAGGAAGTTCCTCATTCCTGTGTAGTCCCCTTTCCTGTAGTTTGGTTTTCATTTGTCCTGGCCTTCCTGCTTCCCCTCCACTTGTAGCTCTACTGTGTATTCGAAGCTCAAAACCACATGATCGCTGGCCCAAGGGGTCTTTCATATGTGATGTCCTCAATATCTGCACTACTCAAGGTGAATACTAAGTCCAGTCTTGCTGGTTCATCCTCTCCTCTCTCTCTTGTAGTGTCCCTTACGTGTTGGTACATGAAGTTTTCCAGTACCACCTCCATCATTTTAGCCCTCCATGTATCTTGGCCCCCATGTGGCTCCAAGTTCTCCCATTCGATCTCCTTGTGGTTAAAGCCACCCATGATCAGGAGCTTTGCCCTGCATGCATGAGCTCTTCTCGCCACTGCAGCCAGTGTGTCAACCATCGCTCTATTGCTCTCGTCATACTCTTGCCTTGGCCTCCTGCTGTTCTGTGGTGGGTTATACATCACTGCAATTATCACCTTGGGACCACCAGAGTGAAGCGTTCCCGCTATGTAATCACTTTCTTCTCCGCTGTCTCCTCTCTCCAGCTCATCAAAATTCCATCGGTGTTTGATCAGCAATGCCACTCCTCCACCCCCCCCCCTGTTCCTTCTGTCTTTTCTCAGGATCTGGTATCCTGCTGGAAAGATGGCATCTGTTATCATACCTGTAAATTTTGGTTTTGTGATCGCTATGATGTCTGGTGATGCCTCTTTGACTCTTTCGTGCCACTCCTCCCACTCGTTTGTTATTCCATCAGTGTTTGTGTACCATACCTTCAGTTTCCTTTCCAACACTGTGGTTTGGGGGGCCTGTGGGGGTGGGAGACCTGGTAGCATACTGTGGGATTCTATGGTTGGGGGTTGGGTGGAAGTTGTGGGTATGGATTGTATTGTGTGTTGGGATGGTGTGATAGGTTGTGGGGTTCTGAGGATAGTTGTGTGTGTGCTTGCCCTTGCTGCTCTGTTCTGCTCTGACTGACCTCTGCTGGTTCCATCCTTGTCTCCTTTCCTAGCTCCTTTCGCTTTTTTGTCCTCTCCCTCAGCTGCCGTCTCTCTGTTTGTGTTCTGTCTCTGTCTAGGAACACCTTCTTGTACTCTTCTGAGCTTTTCAACCGTGGTTTCTCTTGGAGGATCCTGTTCCGCACTGTTTTCTGTCCTGAGAATCAGCTTGATCGGTCGGTTTCTCCCCTTCAAGTACCCCCCTATTCTCTGAAAATTTACAATCTCATCTATGTCTTTCCCCCCATTTCCGTGATGATTTTCTCAATCTCCTTTCTTTCTTCCTGCCGTCTTTCAGTGTGTGTCCTTTCCTCTCTCTCTCCCGAAGCCCATGGATAATCACTGATTTTGCCCTTTCCTTCTCCCATTGCCTCTCCCTCTGTGACTCTGGTTCCTGTCTGTATGTGGTCATTTTCTCCCTTGATTTTCCAGTGGCTCTTGGTAGCATGGTTGTGCCTCAGCATTCGACCTATCTCCCTCTCCATCTGCACCCATCTGCTCTTCCCTTCCACTCCCTGGCCCTTCTTTGCAGGCTGATATGACCTTAGCATAATTCATATCTCCTTCCTTCCTGTTCAGCCTCTCATCTTCGTATGGTGTGTCTTCTCTGGTCACTACCCCTGAGACTTGCTTCAGCCTGTTTACCTCAAATTCTAGGACCTTTACCCTGGCTACTGCAGTTTCGACTTGTGCCTCCCAATTCTTCGTCTCCTTCTCCAACCTCTTTTCCCATTTCACAGAGAGCTCTTTTCCCCCATTTTTCAGAAAGCTCTCCTAAAATTTTCTCTCCCATTCTTGCTCTATCCTTTTCCACTCTTCCTCCATCCATTCCTCCCTACCAGTACCATTGTCATCTGATCCCTGATTCCTGCAAGTCCCAACCATTTTTTTTTTTTAGTGAAAGAGAGAGAGAAAGAGAAAAAGAAAAAGGGGAAGAGAGTGAGATAGGGAGAGAGAGAAGGGGAGCCTAGAAGGAGGGGAAAAGAAGGGAAAAAGGGGGAGGAAGTGAGAGAGAGGGAAAAGGTAAGAGAGAGAGGGGGGAGTGACAAGGGAGAGAGAGAAGAGATAAAAGAAGAGGAAGAGAGAAGTAGAGAGGAAGAGAGAGAGGGAGAGGGAGAGAGAGAGGGGATGAGAGAAAGGGGGAGAGAGAAAGAGAGAGAGGGGAGAGAGAAGAGAGAGAGAGAGAGAGAGAGAGAGAGAGAGGAGAGAGAGAGAAGGAAGAGAGAGGAGAGGGAGAGAGATGGGGGGGGAAAGGAAGGGTTATAGGGTCACTTCACAGGAAGGTGTAAAATCCTGTATATGTGTGTCTGTGAGTGTGTGTGTGTGTGTGTTGTGTGTGTGTGTGTGTGTGTGTGTTGTTTGGGGTGTGTGTGTGTGTGTGTGTGTGTGTGTGTGTTACAGCTATTCAAGTGCCTAACAGCAGAGCTGTCCTCACCTAGTGTGTGCATATGTTTATGTAAACAGTCCTTATTTCCCACATATGTACTACATATGTATTGTATATGTAAACCCCATCTCTTGGTTCCCACTGTACTGTCTTATGCGTTTAAAATTACGTTCAAAAACAAATACACTAGGCTTCGCCTATATGCCGCTACCTCTAAATTTTATTAAATGCCAGTAAATGCTGCTTATTCTAATTCTGATAGCTCGAGGAGAGTGACCCCAAATTCCAGCTAGAGACAGGTACTATTGACCCCATGCAACTCAAACTAGGTGAATATTACTTGTGGCTGGCAGTGGAGTAACGTTGCGGGTCTGTCCTGTCCCAGAAGTTGAAGTTTGATGCTTCTCGGTAATTTTTCCACTAACTTCCTGTATGCACTATAGTCTCTAGCTCTTCTAATTTTTTCACTCACTCACTGTATTTACTGACACATCTATACATATCTCTTATCTCCCTGGTCTTGAGTCGCACTTATTCTTCAAAAAACCCCACAGTGTTATTATGGCAACACTATTTAGGCCTGACACAACCGTTCACCCTTCCAACGGCCCTCACTAAACACTCAGCCAATATTTCCTTTTTTTTTCTTTTCTGTGATCACTTATATTTCCTTTTTCGGGGCTTAAGTGATTATATGCACTCTTATGCGTGCACACGCCTATATCCCACACTCTATTCCTTATGGCACAGTCAGAAATTACCACCAAAACACGAGCTCAAACCGCGTGACTCCTCCACGAGTGTGTGTGTGTGTGTGTGTGTGTGTGCCGAAGAGGTTAAACTGGTCAATTAGTCATTTCTAAAATTTTCTCTTATACGTTTAAAAATATTTTTTTTTCATTTATGTTAATGTACAAAATAATAATTTTGTACCAAAAGAACCTTAGAAAACTTACCTAACTTATTATAACTAGGGCAATTTAATTTAGCCTAATCCAACTAAATATATTTTAGATAAGTTTACAATAATTTAATAATAAACAAATACAATGAAATATATATTTTTCGTTAGGTACAGAACGATTTTTGCGAAATTATTGCATACACAAATTTTCGCTTGCCTTATTCGGCAAGAAGAGCTTTGCTATTTAAGCCAAAATTGCAAGTTTTACCTGTTCGGCACGACATACATATATACGTATATTGTGGTTTATAGGGCCACTGGCAGGCGGCACCGTAATGAAACCTATGATGATATATGTTATCTAGTGAAGGAAGCAACATATCTTATTTCTCTCTCAAACAATAGTGTTGTGATTTAATGTGACAGTAAAGAGAAAAGTTTGGGAATATGGCAGTCGTTGAAATGTATATATATCGTGGTTACTGAGGACGAGGCAGTGAGAGGACAGTTTATTATTATTGGGGGAAGAAGTGAGAGTACGAACTTTTAATTAATTCGGTAGAGGCAGTGTGGAGAACAGATCATCTGTAATTAATTCGTTCAGAGACAATCCGATCAAACAAGTTTCTCCTCTAGTGATTCTGACATTATTTAGCACTACAGCACACCTGTGCTGGTGCCAACGACAGCACTACCTGGCGTGTATGATACACAGCGAGAGTAACGTAGAGTGAGAGCGAGCAAGAGTGAGCTGGTGCAATGCTCGCCCATCACCAACTGTTGTTGCTGCTGCTGCTGTTCGTCCTACACTACAGTGAGTATTGATCCCTCGTCTCAATCTCCCTATATCTCACACACGCTTCCTTTATGTCTCTCTTAACTCAGTTGTGTAGCGTTTAACTCGCACCCAAAACGATCTGGGCTCGAATTCAGAGCAGGATGTAACGTGGACAAGTCTCCTTGCACCTGCGGACTATGTCCACCTACCAGTAAGTATGTACAGTGATTCTGTGTTAACCATCTATGCATTACATTTGGGGAGGTGAGACTTATGGACAAGCCTCCTTGTATTCGCTACTCATGTTCCCTAAGCGGTAAATAAATACCTAGGAAATACAAATAACCCGAACATATGAGAAAGACACTTTGTTGACGAGGTTATTGTCTAAGTCGGACCGAAACGTCGTAATCAGTCCATCAAGGGTAATGGGCTGATTATATCGTCTTCACATCTCTACTGCTCCTGCCTACTTTCTGTACTCGACTGAAGAAGCCTACTGTGTAGGCGAAACGTTTCGTAATGAAGCTGCCTAAATGTTGCCTATGTGTCTTACTTACCAACCTGTGGGTATTGTATACCATTTTGATATTTACCCACATCCACATGTTCACACGGACATCATCGTAACAACTAGCATTAAGAGAAAAGCATTTTATTGATCAAAACATCTATTTTAAACCCTATTTTAGAGACTAAATTATTCTTAACTGTTGGTGAACATGTCATGTGTAACCTTAATGACCCTCGTGTGGTCGATAGTATTTAAACCTAATTAACCAACCAACTGACCAACCTCATTTCTTTACTGTCAGTAGCCTGAGGTCTGAATATAACATATTTATGTATGAAACCATGCATAGATATATACATATTATTGAAAAAAAAAAAGATTAAAGTTGAACTTTTATGCGTATCCTGTCACGGAGGCCTCTAAGACATTGATGAATGCGACGGATAAATTAGCATTAAGCTGCTGGAAACAATTTGTTCTTCTTTAAAATGAGCTAAAAGTTATCACTAGAAAAGAACTAGCAAAGAGTTTGAATTAGTACAACACCACAGATAGGATTTAGCAGATTCATTGTTCCCCCATAACAAAATGTGTTAAATTTAATATGTTTATAGAGAAAATTAGGCCTTCTGCAGTGTTCCTCCATTCTTATGCTATCATCTATGTACAAGACTGTGTCACGGAGTCAGTCAACTGTGACGCAGCAGATGTTGCTGCCTCAGCAGAAATGCGTACTGTGGAGAGTATGAAATTTTAAGATTTACTGAGGCGAAAGAACTCGGTACCATCTGCTGCGATGATAACTCTTGGTGTTGAAGTCGATGAAGAAGTTATTGCAATAAGTTCCCAACTTCTATTCATCTGAGCATACATAAAGTGAGAGTTTGATCAACTGGTCAGTTACTGCATCAATTCCCTTTAATATCTGACAGAGTTTCAATGTGTAAAGGAAAGAAGGTACCACTCACACATCTTCTTGAATCATATATATCTTGAGAAAGAAGAGCCTAAAAAAAAACTACCAATATGTCGAGGATCTGTTTGTGACTTGATAAAGCCCATTGTGTGGGCGAAACGTTGTCAATAAAGGATCACATTATACTGCTTATGTGTTTATTTTTCCAAGTCAAGGATAACTATAACCTCAAGAGAGTTGCGGGGCCTTGACCTGCAAATTCCCCTGGATGTCCTAAGAGTCATCACAAATAACGTCATCAAGCATCAGCTGTTTTAGTGGTTTACCAGAAACTTCAACAATTAAAACTTAGGAACAAAATCGTCGACCTTCCAAACACGTCTCTGTTGAAGTTAAAATTGAAAATAAAATTAGCCACTGAAAAAATGCAACATGCAGGCTTCCTTAGTAATAAATCTAAGACACAACTAATTTCGTGATTCGATATCCGGTACGGATAGAAACATTAGGATGTGGTTCCTTAAGACACCTGCCGTCCCTGTTCACCTGTTCCATCCATACAGGGGTTCGAACCACGGACCATAATGTGAGCTGAGTGCTCTAGCAATCGAGCTACGGAACACAGACAGCTCTATGAAAAAGAGAAGAACAAGCACTCCATATCCTTAAGAATAATCAAGACTTATGTCGTGCCGAATAGGTAAAACTGGTCAATTAGCAAGAACTCATTTAAAATTAAATCGTTTCTAAAATTTTCTCTTATACATGTAAAGATATACTTTTTCATTTATGTTAATATAAAAATTAATGATTTTGCACCAAAAGAACCTTAGGAAACTTACCTAACCTTTTTATATCAAGCGCAATTTAATTTAGCCTAATCCAACTAAATATATTTTATATAGGTTTACAATAATTTAATAATAAACAGACACAATGAAATATTTTTTTTTTCGTTAAATTCAGAATGATTTCCCCGAAATTATTACATACACAATTTTTTTGCTTGCCCTATTCGGCAAGAAGTGCATTGCTTTTTAACCCAAAATCGCAAGTTTTACTTATTCGGCACGATATTTTTATGACAATTATTTTCAATAGTCAACGAGCATCAGCAGAGGACGTGGATTTTTTCATTCTTCCTATATATGGAGATCTCACTTGTACACTTATACTACTCCCTACTCTCGTTCTACTACTCCCGGCCCCGCCCTCCTCCCGTGTATATACTAGCTACCTTTCCTTCGCGCTCCTGTGTGGCTAGTTAATGGTTCAAGTAGGACCGAAACGTCGTCAAAAGTTTCAGTCTCGTACCCGAACTGCACCACATGCTAGTACCTTTCTTCTGTGCTTAACAATGTTTTATTACCAAAAAAACTACATTTGTAAACTGAACAAAGAAATAAAGATTGTTTGTTTGTTTTGTTTATGTGTGGGTTATTTGTGTATTGATCCAGTCACGGTATTGTACCTTTTCATTTTTCATGGCTTTCATGCAGACAAACGCGCAGCGGCTGGAATGTCTATATACTCTATAAAATACATATTAGACGAGGCCTGGTGACGGGCCGGGCCGTGGGGGAGTCGACCCCTGAACCTCCCTCCAGGTATACCAAGCCAACGTCATGTGATGGAGCTCCTCTTCACACTTTAAGAGATTTAATTAAAGTGTAAAATTGACCTGGCAACTTTGTCCCCAGTCAACTTAGTGATGGAATTATGCAGTGTTTGGTTAGCAAATGAAACGTGTGGGAGGGAGTTGTTGAATTTGAGGAAGGTGTTCCATGGAAGTTATATGTTGCATGGGAGGAATGTGTTGCATGGGAAGAAGGCATGGTGGGACGGTGAGTGTAGTGTGGGAGACAGTAATCACATGGTTAAACTGCTCCAGAAACATCAACATTGGATGAATACCCAGGACAGCTGAATATTTAAGAGGGGAAACCATGGATGACAAGTGAGGGGAAGCCAGGGGTGACAAATGAGGATAAGCCAGGGGTGACAAGTGAGGGGAAGCCAGGGGTGACAAGTGAGGGGAAGCCAGGGGTGACAAGTGAGGGGAAGCCATGGGTGACAAGTGAGGGGAAGCCAGGGTGACAAGTGAGGAGAAGCCAGGGGTGACAAGTGAGGGGTGAATGTGGCTTGATTGAGGAAACTAATGATTTACACCCTGCAGAGGGCGAGGGGGGGAACACGAGGGGAGACCTAGAAGATGAAATGAGGGAAACTTGTTAGACGAGGTACTTAGAGCTGAGGAGGTTATGGAGGATGCTGTGAGTTGTGCGAGTGATGTAGTGAGTGTGAGTTGTGAGTTGGTGTGTGAGTGATGTGAGTTTTGTGATTGATGATGCGAGTTGTGTGAGTCATTTGAGTTGTGAGAGTCTTGTACTGAGTTGTGTGAGTGAAGATATTAGTTGTGTAAGTCATGATATAAGTTACGTCAGTGAGTTGAACTGTGTGTTGTAATTACCTTCATGAAAATATGTTAAGTGCTCGTCCAGAATCATTTTAAAGAGTTAATAACGAAAAGATATGTGGAAATGTTATGACTATTACAGCTGGTAGTTTCTGTTACAACAAGTGAGTGTTGCAACACTGTAACACTGAAACGTTGCAACATAAATATGGCTGCTCTTATTGGTATCCTTTGTTATTTTATAGATTTTATTTTTTGCCTAACTCTTTTTATACTTTGGATGAAGGTTCCCAAATTGTAGGTTCCCAAATTGTAGGCTCCCAAATTGTAGGCTCCCAAATTGTAGGCTCCCAAATTGTAGGCTCCCAAATTGTAGGCTCCCAAATTGTAGGCTCCCAATTTGTAGGCTCCCAAATTGTAGGCTCCCAAATTGTAAGCTCCCAAATTGTAGGCTCCCAAATTGTAGGCTCCCAAATTGTAGACTCCCAAATTGTAGGCTCCCAAATTGTAGGCTCCTCAAATTGTAGGCTCCCAATTTGTAGGCTCCCAAATTGTAGCTCCCAAATTGTAAGCTCCCAAATTGTAGGCTCCCAAATTGTAGGCTCCCAAATTGTAGACTCCCAAATTGTAGGCTCCCAAATTGTAGGCTCCCAAATTGTAGGCTCCCAAATTGTAGGCTCCCAAATTGTAAGCTCCCAAACGTAGCTCCCAAATTGTAGCTCCCAAATTGTAGCTCCCAAATTGTAAGCTCCAAATTGTAGGCTCCCAAATTGTAGGCTCCCAAATTGTAGGCTCCCAAATTGTAGACTCCCAAATTGTAGGCTCCCAAATTGTAGGCTCCCAAATTGTAGGCTCCCAAATTGTAAGCTCCTAAATTGTAGGTTCCTAAATTGTAGGCTCTCAAATCGTAGGTTCCCAAATTGTAGGCTCTCAAATTGTAGATTCTCGAATTGTAAGCTCCCAAATCGTAGGTTCCCAAATCGTAGGCTCCAAAATCGTAGGTTCCCAAATCGTAGGCTCCAAAATCGTACGTTGACAAATCGTAGATTTGCAAATCGTAGATCTGCAAATCGAGGTTTCCGAATAGAAGGTTTTCATATCGTAAATTTGCAGACCGAAGGTTTCCCAAACTACTGGAGTATAAGTATATTAACGTAGGTTGCATGGTGTTATACCATTTTGTTCATTTT